TTTAATATGGTATTTTTTTCTGTCCTGAGGCTTAAACTCAGGCCCTGGGTGCTGTCTCTGAGCCTCTTTGTGCTCAAGGCCAGCGCTCTAACACTTGAGCCACAGCGCCACTTCCAGCTTTTTTCTGAGTAGTTCATTGCAGATAAGAGTCTCAGGGACTTTCCTTCCCAAGCCGGCTTTGGACCACAATCCTCAGATCCTGAGTAGCTAGGATTACAGATATGAGCCACTGGCTCCTGGCTTAACACCATGAAATTTTATTGTATGCATTTATTTATTTATTTATTTTGTCGGTCGTGGGGCTTGAACTCTGGACCTGAGCACAGTCCCTCAGCTCTTCAGGTCAAAGCGAGCACTCTACCACTTGAGCCACAGCGCCACTTCCCGTTTGCATTTTTAAGTCATTTTACCATTTTCATTTTTTTTCTGTGCTGTTTCCTAAAATTCTTAGGCCTCCTCCTAATTCCAATTTTTGTTTCTCTTCAGTATGTGTTTGGGAGCATTTCTTCTCTGTTAGTAAGTGTTTGAAGGAGGAACTTTTAGAAGCTCTCAAGAAATAGAGCGCACTCACCGTTTATGGGCAGCAGGTGAAGCCCGCAGTGACGTAACACCGAGAAAACCATTTTACTTGCCCCAGAGCTAAGCTTGTTCAAGAACAAATGAGAAAGAACGCTACATGAGCCCATCCCATTTGTAGAAGGGTAACGAGAATAGGGCAAAGCTACCTATCATGGCTGCCTTTATCTTTCTTTCCCCGCCTCTCACTCTTCTTTCTCTCTGTCCATCTTCCTATCCACTGAAGGACCTCGGCTTCTCAGTTGTCCTCATGGTAGGCCTGCTTAAGAGACCCATAGGTGGCTGGTGACTCAGAGGCACTGTGTTAGTAATGAACAGAGTGGCACTGGAACACGGCCAACACCAGCCACTTGGGAATTGTCTGTGGCTGCTTTTATGCTTTGGTGGTTGGGTTAAATAATTACATCAGTGACCACAAACTCGAAAAGCCTGCAGTGTTTATTATCTGGCCTGTTTCCAGAACATGTTTGCCTCATCTTGCTTTGCGCACAGGTGCTAGGTTTGTGCACTGTCACTCAGCCCTTCTTCCAGAAGTTAAGAAAACGATTCATTGTTTTCTGCAGACACACCACGCTTGTTTCTGCTTTCCCTGCTCCAGCTGTCTCCTCCAACTAGACGTTATTGCTCTCCTTTCAGCCATCCCTGAAAGCTAACCAGTCTTCAAGGTGTGATTCCAACCACTCTTCCTACAGGAAGTCCTAGAAGAAATACCTTTTCCTGTTCAGGTCCCCGTTCTTTTATGTATACTCTGATATCTCCCTGCTCTCTGATTTAGGCTCACCACAGGTTTAATCCAGTTCTCTATGTCTTCCAGCCCTCCTGACCCCTGACTGAAGCAAATACTGACTCATCTCCCTCCGTGACCATTCACACAGTGATGTTGCTCTTGATGCCAGCTTCCTCCCCAGCTCGCTCCCCGAGACTTTCTGCTGCAGCCTGTTCAGAATCCTGGGGCAGCACGACAGAACTCACACTAGCTTCCTGCCTGCTCTCTCAGGAACTCACGCGTGCGCGGCCGCCACCCTTACGGTTCCATCTCTATCCCTGTCTTCTGACGGTTCCATCTCTATCCCTGTCTTCTGTGTGTTCCCATTCTGTGCCATTTGTCACACTCTTTTGTATGAGGTCAGAATGGCCTTTCATCAAAACCAAGGTGTTTTTTAAATGTTATATGTTTATTAAATTTAAATGTTATCACACAGGTGATGCACAGTGGGGTTATAGTTACATCAGTCAGGCCGTAAATGCATTTCTTTTATTCTTTACCCTTCCCCCTCCCCATATTCTCCCACTTTCAAGGATTTTTTTTTTTTTTTGCCATCACTGCTGCTTCTCAAGGTCATACAGAAATGTAAAGTAAGTTGCCAACATGCATTTACTAAGTTGAAATCGAGGACAAGGATGGCACCTTATGATTTTATCTTATTAATTCTTCATATTTTACTTAATCCTAGATTGCTTTCATCTTTTTTGGTGCCAGTCTTAGGACCTGAACTCAGGGCCTGGGAGCTGTCCCCTAACTTTTATTTCTCAAGGCTACTACTTTACCACTTGAGCCACAGCTCCATTTCCAGCTTTTTGGTAGTCAATTGGAGATAAAAGTCTCAGAGACTCTCCTGCCCAGGATTGCTTAGAAGTACGTGTGAGATCTCAGCCTCCTGAGTAGTTAGGACTACAGGTGTTAGCCATGGGCCCCCAGCTGCCATCCATTTTTGTGAGTAAACAGCTGATGTTCTTACCCAAGAAACCAATGCTTCTGACTGTTGTGTATTTGGAAAGTCTATTCATCTAAAATGTGTGACTATGCAAGTGACTGCCCAAGCTGAAGAGCAAGTATGCGGATTCTGATTCCTCACTGAGGAGAATGGTGGAGAATGTAACAGGTTTGGCCTAATGTTCAGAAGTCTCTGTGGAATCAGACCTGTCACAGGTGCCTGCCGAGTGGTGCCGCCGTGTCCATCTTTGCCTCGAGGTGTCCAGCAGGCAGTGTCATTCTGCTTAGAATAGCCGAAGGCCGAGCAAGACCATTCACTCAGGGACTGGAAAGCAAAGCTGAGGAAGACATGTGGCGGGTGAAAACAGGGAAGAAGGAAAAGAGAGAGGCCGAGGCGTGGCCGCACAGCCCCCTGCCACCCCGCCTCGCCAATGACCTAAAGACCTCCCTTCAGGCCTGCCTCTCCACACTTCCACCCCTCCCACCAGCTCCCTGCTGAGAACTAAGCATTTGACACAGGTGCCCTTGGTACCGAAAGTATTTTTATTAGAGTCCAGCACGAAACTATAGGGGAAAGCACTAGAGTTCTATCAGAACAATCTGGAAGAAGTGCTTTTAAATTCTCAAAGAGAGGCGGCTTTTATTATTCACGAGGATGATTCATATTTTCCCCATAGGAAGGGGCTTGGCATTCTTAACCACACAGTTTGTGAAACTTTGGGCTGCATGGCCCCTAGCTCTGGCTGGATGATGAGAGGATTTGGATGTCTCTGTGCATGGCATCTTCCTGAAAAAATTCATTTGGCTTCTCAAAGCTTCTGTGTCTTCACTGGGAAAAAAAATCATCATTCACAATAATTCTTCTAATAGCTCCTATTGAATCTGGTCCAATGATAAAGGAATACCATACCTTTATCTGTTCAAGAGAATCACTGGGCTAACACACACATGCGTACGCGCGTGCGCACACGCACACACACACACGCACGCACACACACACACTTTTAGGAGAATATTAAAGATCTGTAGTATGCGGCAAGTAGAACATTCAAAAGTTCCTAGAGCAGCCCAGAAAGTCATTGAAGCTTTTTGCTCAATGGCAAAAAAAAAAAAGCTGCAAAGTGTTCCTTTTCGTGGACACCGGCTTCCATGATCATCACCCTGTTAGAGGCTCTTCGGGCCCTTCCCCACTGCATTCCTTTGTGTTTAGCAACCATATTCCACCGTGGAGCATCCTGGCTGGAACATTGGCCTTCATTTGCTTATCCAGTAGAATGTAGCTGGGCAGCCCAGGAACCAGAGAACATGAACTCTGACAGTGGGGATACTGTCACAGAGTCTCTGAGTGAAATGCCCATTGCTTGATAGCAGCCTACGGGCTTATTAAAAATGATGTTACTCTTGCTGGGTGCAGGTGGCTGATGCCTAGAATCCGTCTACACCAGAGGTTGAGATCTGGTTCAAAGCCAGCCTGGACAGAAAAGTCTGTGAGACTCTTATCTCCAGTTAGCTGCCAAAATGCCAGAAGTGGAACTGTGACTCACAGTGGTAGAGCACTAGCTAGCGTTGAAAGCACCAAAACTTAGGGACAAGGCCCAGGCCCTGAGTTCAAGCTTTAAGACTGGCATAAAATATGTCAGTATTAGATTCTTTAGTTCAACATCAAAAAATAATATTATATTTGAGCCCTATGGCATACCATAACTAAAAATAATGGAGGGAATTTAAGACTTTGGATGAAGTTACAAAGGTAATTATGAAGATTTGTAACATTAGAAGCACCAAGATTAGTGTAGACCAAAAACAGAGATTATGAAATGAGAGTAAGAAGGAGAATAACATAATTGTTTTAAATAAAACAATTGATAAATCATTTAGATCATATGTAAGCAGTGGACTTAGATGTAACACATTCTTAAAGTCCCACTGTGTATGTATTTATGTATACACATACTTAGAGTTTCTTGTATAGCTTTGCTAAATGTTTGCTTTTCATTTTAATGATAACACATTCCAAATTTTAGAGAAACTATTTTTATATTTTAGAAAATTTGCAAAATACAATGAGTTAGCTATTTGAGTTCATGGAACCTAATTGCATTGAATATGTGTGTCATGGGATTTGGTAGAATTTCAAAAAAATTTGAGTGAGGTCAATAAGTATGTCCTACATACCAAGGACAGAAAATCGTTTATATTTTGCATGTTTTGGCTTTAAGTGTTTCAATGAAATGTAATTGAAGATGAGAATGTCAGGACATCACATTCTTCTCTTACTTTGAATTAGAAAAAAAATAGAATTGGGGTATTTATTAAATTCTCAAGTATTGCCGCATTTAACAATGATTTGTTTTGAAGACAAGACTTCTGCTCAGTATTTACTGCTGCTGTAAACTGGATTATAAATAAGTAATTCTATGAATAAGTATTTGCATATATAAGCTTTTCACTCTTGGAATTTGTCAGTTCAGAGACAGAATATAACAGAGGATTTGGGTTTTCTTTGTAGTAAGACAAACCTTATCTCAAACCCTGAGTGTTGTGTGGTTTCTGTGGGACTAGGTCCACATGCTGTAACCTTACACTACAAGACCTGTCATGAGAGTTAAATGTGCTGCCTATATTCAGGATAACTATCATTAGTTAAGTGTTCAGTAATTTGACTGTTTGCCTACTAAGTGCTTCCCCTTTACCCTGGATTGCATTGTAGGAGGGATTCTGGATGGATGGCTGCTGGAAGCTCATTGCTATAGCTGGCTCTTCTTCAATACATAAGGACGTATACTGGCATTGAGTAATGAGAATTTCGGTAAGAAAAAAAATAGAATAGCATGTTACTTTTTTTGTTGTTGCTGTTGGTCATGGGGCTTGAACTCAAGGCTTGGGGGCTGTCCCTGAGCTCTTTTGTTCAAGACTAGTGCTCTACCACTCTGAGCCACAGTGCCACTTCTGGTTTGGGGGTGGTTAATTGGAGATAAAAATCTCTCAGACTCTCCTGCCTGGGATGGCTTTGAACTACAATCCTCAGATCTCAGCCTCCTGAGTAGCTATGATTAGAGGTATGAGCCACTAGAGCCCTGCTAGCATATTACTCTTGTTTATAAATGTTACTTGAATCTCAGATGCTTCATAATACATTCTGAGATTATACTGTGGAGATCTTGGGATGTCACTAATGTCTGTACACAAAAGGATTGTCTTTATTTTGAAAATAGATGGCATAGGTTTCAGAAAACAAGATGAACCATCTTGTAATGCTCTTTGAGCCATTCAAAATGCATTAGTCCACCCCTTATATTTCTCTAAATGTCTGGCCCCCCAATAAATGGGGCAGCATTTGGGAATGAGACCTGGGGATTACTTATCTCTTCAGCAGAGACTCAGTGAAACACAGTGCTTCATATTTTTCTTTCTTTCTTTTATTTTTTTAAACAAAACTAAGAGCTTTGAGAACACAAAAGAATACACAAAATATCACAACTCTGGAGGTTTCTAAGATAAATGATTTTCCCAAATCACTAGGAAACATTGTTTTGTAAAGGCCCTTAAGACAGTTATCTTTAGTTGGTTCCATTTCTACTCAATTTATCTCTGAAGGATAATATTATTAATTTTCATATAATTGCAGGAATTTAACATATAAGTAATGTACTTGTTATTAATTTGCACCATTTTATATATATATATATATATATATATATATATATGTACCTCTTAAGAAGGAGAGAAGGATGAAAGGAATTCAGAGGTAAGAGAACAGATTAATTGGCAACATTAGTAAATCACTGTAAACTTTATTAAATTATCATTGCTAGGCAGCAGGAGAAAAACTTATTAAAGAGTTTTGTGCAAAAGGAGGCAGCTGGGAGGAGATGGGAGAAAAGCCAAAAGAGATCAATCTTCGTTTCCTCAATTATGATAAAGGAAATAGCTGAACCTTTGTATCCAGAAATAGGCTGTATTATTTGCCATCTAATGTTTGAACTAAAAGTGGATGACCATCTTTCTTATGATTGTATTTTTCAGAAACCACACCTGAGAAGTCCTTCCATCCAGTGCTACTTGTGTCTACTTTTAAACAGTCATTTTTTAACTGAGGCTGGCATACATGTCTTCATTTTAGGGTAATTGGATACATATCATCATATTAATGGCCACAATAGTCATCCTAAATTATCCACTCCACGAGGTTGCTGTGATTAGCTTGGTCTTGTCTCTTAGGTGCACTGTGTTTGGTGTGGGGTATAATACAGGGAAGATTAGGAGGTTCAGGGGAGATTAAGTGAACATCTGGTTATATCCCCAATGAGTCTTCTTTCTCCCAAATAAACGGGGCCCCTTGACAACTTACTGATTTCCGGTGTAGTCTTCCTGGCAGTAAAAAGTAGGTGTTTAGTACTTGCTCATGTTACTTTAACTGTGCTTGACTCCTCCTATACTTTGATCCTTACCTTCATTAAGTTTAAAACATTTCTTTCTTTAAGTAGGTCTTTGGTTTCTTGTAAAAAACAACCAGCTTTTTCTCCATGTCTATTACTTGGTCTCTTTTCTCTTAGCTGCAGCTAATGTGTTGATGTAAATATGGAAATCAATACATATTGGTTGGCACTTTGCCCAGCCAGTTGTTACCTAATGTGACGTGTGGTTCTCTCAGTCCTTGTTTGTACCCTTGAGGTAAGAACCTCAGCTTCCCCCTGCAGGCAGGTTAGGGCTGCGAGGAAGACCTTCGTGGCACTCTACCATCACTCCATAGTTACTTCATCAGTGTGTCTTTTATCTGGATATTAAACTTCAGTTTTTACCCAAGAGACAATGTGTCTGATCACTCGCAGTAGACTGAGCTATGTGTATCATGCGTATGGAGAAAGCCTGGACGGGCGTAACTATTGCGTGAGCATCGTGAGTCACACGTAACAAGAGGGCCACAAGGTGATACGGAAGTGTTGCTGTTTTAACGTGCTCACTTATTTGCTTGGCCTGAAATTCTTAAAGAAATGTTAGTGATTTACTGAAGAACGTGTGTCGAGCGCTACCGCAGTTTCTGCTTCACTGTGACACGTGACACCAGGTTACTTACATGCTACGCTTTCAGTCAGGCATTTTTGGAAACCTCGGGGCTGGTCAACACTTGTCAACCTGAAGTGTCAGGGCTGTGCTGGTTGGTGTTTCTGTTCATCAGCAGGGTTCTGACATACTCAGAGACAAGACTAACACTGCTGACTTCCCTCAGAATTTAAACGTTTTGATTGTCTGCTCAGCCTGTTTGGAGGTCATTGTTGTGACGGTTCAGCGTGCTGCTCTCCCCCCTTTCAGCTGTGTCAGTGCAGGGCTTCCCAGAACAGAGGCCAACTGGTGTGATGTAATACAGGATCTGAAAACCATCCAGCAACTTATCCAAGTGAGTACTCACTTTTCCATAACCTACCTGACAGGTTTGCTAGGAAGTATGTCTTTTCTTATGCTTTCTTGTGAGCAGTCATGAAGTCTCCCTGGCAATGGTAATTTTTTGTTGTATATTTGGCTCCTACAAAACTTCAGAAGAAATCTTTTTTTTTGGGGGGGGGGGGGTCAGTCGTGGGACTTGATCTCTGGGCCTGGGCGCTGTCCCTCAGCTCTTCAGCTCAAGGCGAGCACTCCACCACCTGAGCCACAGCACCACTTCCGGTTTTTCTTAGTGGTTTATTGATGATAAGAGTCTCACAGACTTTCCTACCCAGGCTGGCTTTGAATCGCAGTCCTCAGATCTCAGCCTCCTGTGTAGCTAGGATTACAAGTGTGAGCCACCTGCCTAGCCAGAAGAAATCTTTCTCCTACTGCATCTGGAGTTCAGTTATCTTTAAGATTTAACCTATCACTGGCCTAGCCTAAAAAGCTCTTGTTGGTTTAGTTCAGAGACTTCTTTCTTCTATCTAGAGAAACCAGGTTGCTTGGTACCGCCTGGGAAGGAACGTGACCCCAGGAGAGAAAGTCTTTTTTTTTTTTTTGGGTCCGGTCGTGGGCTCTGGGCCTGGGCACTGTCCCTCAGCTCTTCAGCTCAAGGCTAGTGCTCTACCACATGAGCCACAGCGCCACTTCCGGCTTTTTTTCTTTTTGCTTATGTGTTGCTGAGGAATTGAACCCAGGGCCTCATGCATGCAAGACGAGCGCTCTACCACTGAGCCACCTTCCCAGCCCAGGAAAGTCTTATCTATGGAATAGAGATCTCTTCTCCCACCCAGAGACACCAGGTGGCCTAGTAGAACCAGCAAACAATAAACAGCAAAACCCCACTCAAAAGAGCCTTTGGAAAAGTGTTATTTATACCCATCCTCTACCTAAAACAGTAAGCGTGATCCAGAGAAGGGCCTTCTGTCCCATTGGGAGACACAAAAAAGGATCAGTGCTTCAGTGGTATACCACAATACACAAGCCATAATGACTGGAGACCAAGAAGATTAGAGTCACAACCAGGATGGATCAAATACTGGAAGTACCTGACATGGATTTGAAAGTTCTCTGAAAAGTAATGAATTACAAGTACCATTAAAATAAAAGATGTAGAAATCTTAGAAACAAGATATAAATAGAACCCAATGGAAATAACAGAACTATAAAATTTTAATGAGTAAAACACAAAATATGTTGGAAAGAGTCACTAGCAAAATGAATATGACAGACTGAAGAGAGTTCAATGGTAGAGAGTCTGTGAGAAAAAGTTGGGGGTAAAAATAGTGTCTTTTCAGATATCATTAATGAAGGTAAGATCAGATCATACTGCAGTGTAGGTTAATTGTAAAGGCAAGTGTCATAAACGGAATTAGGGGTGCAAACTATGTAGTCATTAAAAGGCTGTTAAAATGAAAATCAATCTTGTGCTCACAGATCTGAAAAATTACAGGAAACAAACCAGCCCTTCAAACACACCACACTACCAAAATGTAGCAAGAATAAAGTAGATAATTCAAGTATTCCTCAGCCAGCACAGACATTGAATTCATTATATACTCATCCTAAAGGAAACTCTAGACCCAGCCAATTTCACTGAAGCATTCGGCAAAAAAATTTTTTCAAGAGGAATTAAAATTTCACAGTCTCTTTCATAAAATAAAAAGAGGGAAACTTTCTAACTCGTTTTAGGGGGCTTATTTTGTTCTGATGTTAAAATCAGATGGATTTGGTATTAAAAGTAAGACTAAAAACAATTATCTCGTGATTTTATATATAAAGTTCCTCAATAAAATATTAACGATCAAATTTGGCAATAAGTTTTATACCCTAGTCAAATAGGATTGATTTCACCTGTTGTTCAATATTTGAAAGCCAACAAGTGTAAATACACACACACACACACACACACACACACACACAATCTCCACAGCCTAAACAAGGAAACAATAGGATCATATCAATCGATTGAGAAAACACAGATAAAAAAATATGGGCTGAATGGTGTTCCCCGTGGATTCATATGCTGGAATCCTGTCAGTACCTCAAGATATAGGAAAAAAATAAATCATTTGCAATTATGAAATCCTAACGCTAAAACCTGTTGAGATTGTTTCAGGAAGTGGGAGAGGCAAAAGGGAGAGAGGACCAAAGTGGTGAGACTGGCTGGACTGGATTGTAAACTTGTGGAAATGAAACAGCCAAGCCCCTCTCCTGCCTGGGCAGCGAATGTAGATGAATATAAACGCTTAACAGAGAGTATTCGTCAGCACAGAGGTGGCCAGAGGTTACAAGGAGTGGGAGGGGGAATGTGTGGATGGTGGGTTAGTAGCTAAGGCATGGAGTACTTTTTCATATTATCTCATTTTATTTCCTTTCAGGCTATACACATTGATGCCACTTTATATACTGAGAGTGATGTTCATGTGAGTACAATTTGATTTTTACAAAACTGATGGTGTTTCACCTTTCAAAAGCATAACTTTTATTATTTAACTGAAATGCACATAGGTTTCAAATTTCATTTTCCACGTACACTTCTGATATATAAACTGTGATTGTTAAGTTTGTAGAAATTGGGAAAGGAAAACTATTCAAATACTATTTTGTAATTGTGCCCCAAAGCAAAATAGTAGAAAAGAAACTCACCTTATTCTATCAATATAAAAAAAATCTATTACACATTTTCATAATGCAGTTGGACTGCGATGAAATTAGATGCTTGAATCGGGTTAACCGATCCAATGCTATCCAACCTATCAGCCATTTCCTGTGCTGTGGAGTATGGATGTTCTAACCACAGCTTCTATAAATTGCCTATGGGTGCCTATAATCTATATTTTGCATAGATCTTGACATTTGTCAGGAGAGCATTCAGACTAGGTATCCTCTATGTGAGAAGAGAAACACAATCCACACAACTTACAAGAATTCAAAGATGATGAACCTGTTTCATTAATACACTGACATTACCTAAGGCCGATCATGGTGGTACTCTTTTCTCTCTGGAATATTACTAAGACCAAGAAATAAATCTCCAGTTTCACTGAAGGGAAGACAAACTCTGTATTGTGTGTGTGTGTGTGTGTGTGTGTGTGTGTGTGTGTGTGTAAAACAGTGTCCTCTTTGCTATTTCTCAACTAGAATATATCTGAAAATATCTGAAATATTTTACAAACACTGGAGAAAAGCCATAGGCAGAAACGAGGGGGAAATGGCGGTTTCTCTCTCAGTGGGGCAGGGCTGCTCCCGGAAACTCTGTCTTCTCTGGCATCAGCAGGCTGTCTGATTTTCTTTGCATTTTTTCCTAAGCGTGCAGATCTTGCGATGGCCTTCTTGCAAGAAGGTAACCTCACAACTCAGATGCAGAGGCATTTGCTAGACTCAGGCATCCACTCGACCTCTTCTTCCTGGTGTCACCGGGGATGGCACTAAGTTTTCAGAACCTCCATTTTGTTCCTGCTAAGTTGCTTAGAGAGTCTACCTTGTAGTCCTGGGCAGCCGCGGTGCCGCCATGCTGCATTCCTTCAACAGTTTGCAAGGACCAGGTCCTGTGCTAGCAACCAGGGACCCAAATAAGTCATAGGCAGAGTTCTAGTCAGATTTCTAGTCTTTGAGTTCAGGTTTCTGTTAGATGACTGTTGTAGGAAATGGATTGTCCTGGCACCTTTTAGAGATCTCCTCCTTCTTTGGCTAGCCGGGAGGTAGGGTGCTACATCTGCTTTAATTTGTCCCAGAATTCTGTCTGCTGCTGGAGTTTCGGAATGTACGGGAACAGGATGATGAGCAGCTACCATGGTGAAATGTTAACATTCGATCTGATTCCAAAACTTCTTTCAGACGTACTTCTGGATTGGCATTTGAGAGTCGGGGGGGCGGGTGGGGGAGATACCATTATTGTTTTTTCCACAGACGAAACACTTTGGCTGAGAAAACGTCATTCATTCTGTCCAGGTTTTTGACATAATAGCGCCATCCTTGAAAGGGGAAAAATTCCTAGGTATTATTTTTAAAACATCTGGACTGATGTTTTAAAAATGAGAATGATGTTGATGTGAAAATGAGTGAGAATCTTCTGTTTTAATTTTAGTTGATTGTAAAGATGCCATGCAGAGAGGTTACAGTTACAGGAGTAAGGCAACGAGTACATAAATCTTTGTAACATTTTCTTTTCTTTAGCCCAAGTGCAAAGTGACCGCGATGAGATGCTTCCTGCTGGAGTTTCAAGTCATTTCACATGAGTCTAGAAATGTGAACCTTAGTGAAACAGTGCACAATCTCATCATCCTGGCCAACAGCAGCCTGTCTTCTAACGGGGTGAGTTCTCTGCTGGTCAATCTGGCTTGACTGGGAGAAATGGTCCATAGACAAACAGATCTTCTGCAGAGGCACAGAGGAGAGAGGATTCAGTGTGAGTCCAGTGGCCTCCCAAAGGGACACTCACATGGATGCGCTCACAACCTACAACTGCCCAATGAGATATTTGTTGAAGACATTTGCTGACCTGTGTCACTGTGTGCTTCTGTGCTAGAGTCTAGTGGCAAAACAGAGACGCAGGTGCAGTAGAGACGCTAGCTCGATTGCATAAGGTTCATCACCAGTAATAGTGAGCCATAGATAACTCGCATTGATTGAGTTACTACTGCCTGCCAGATTCTATTGGTTAGGCTTTAATAAATCCTTTAATTCCTATACTGTGTCTCCAAAACCATTCTACTCCTTTGTCTTTTTCCTCTTATTTCTTTTCTTCCTCCTCCTCTTCCTGGTTTTCATTGTCCTCCTCCATCTCTTCCTTCTTTTGATTTAGTGATTCTTACTTCTGTTTGAAGGTAGACAAAACTAGGACACGGTGAGCTTGAGTCATTTGTTCCTACTGGGAAAACAGGAGGCATCGGTCTACTCGAGCAGTGTCTCTCCAAAGCCTGACCTCTCACCTGAAAAGTTACATGTTGAAAATAACAAAAGCACTGATAATCTGAATATACCATCAGGGCTTCGCAGCAACACAAACAGGAAAGCTTTCCGGGAGCAAACACCAAGGGCTCTCAGCATGTGCAGGAAGTAAGTGATGCAAAAGTCCTGAAATGAAAGAATTACGGCTTTCAGTCACCAAACACAGACAGGCAGAAAGGAGTTTAACAACCATACAAAGGACAGTAAAATGACCTCCTCTAATGCATACTTCTTGGCCTGGAGGATGCAGTATGAAAACAGACAGAATCCACACTCAGCTGGCCCATCAGCGAGTGAATAAGCTGGTGGTTTCTGAAGTCTGGTGCATACGGAAGGCAGGGCAGGGGTCCAGGGGTCTAGCATAGAGAAGCTTGGTGTGCGACGACTCAGAGAGGCCATGGCCTGGGGACCCAGCCGCTGAGGCCCAGGCAGCCGCAGTGCAGCACAGACCCCACATCCTGTGAGCTGTGCACGCTGGTTGTGCCCTACCAATGTCTTTGCGTAAGCTGTGCGCTGGGGTCCTTCCTCCACTTTGTTCCCCGTCACCTTCTCTTTCCTTACGGAGGTTTGTCTGGTTTCCTCCACTATTCCTGGCTGAAGTGCTGCCGTGCCATGCTAGCTCCGTCAGTGACAGGGAACCATGCTTCCGTGACAAGGCCGGTGGCCGTCATGCAAAGTGGATGTCCAGAGCCACGCCCGCCGTGGCTCTGTGCGGAAGTGCAGGAGGGGTGGCCGGGCCTACATGGTCAGAAAGCCCGGATGTGACTTACTATCTCTCCCTCCCACTCTGACACGAGTATCTTCTGGATCAAATAGGATGGCCGTCTATGGAGCAGGACAGCGTCTGGCAGACAGTCTGCACCTGATAGATGTTGGTGAATCTATCTTCTGTGTGCTTCATGGATGCAAAAATCTAATTTCATTTTTTTTTTCTGGCACAGCCTTTCCACTTCAGATGATTTCTAACAAGGTTATTCACAATCATTGTATTTGTAGTGTTCTTGTTATCCATGAGACTGTGTTGGAATTTACCATTTGGGGAAATCACTTAAACAGTCATTTCAACCAAGGATTAAATGGTCACTATGTGTCAGGCCTTGCTCTAAACAAACACACACAGCTTTTCCCTCTCCTGGAAGAGCTTAGAACTAGTGACATAAAAAGAGAAAAGGTCTGGTATGAATCTAACACATGAATACGGTGAAGGCTTAAGTGAGGATTTCTTAGGTAGAGTCAGTGCGATGAGCGGAGCCTGGGAGCCTGGAGCCTCGCAGCATCTCCTGCAGGAGTAACATTTGAGTGTAACAGAGAGAAAAAAAACAAGAGCATCCAGGCCTCCAGTATTATGATGTGTTCATGGTGGGAGGGAGGCAGTGGCTCACGCCTGTAATCCTCACTCCTTAGAAGGCTGAGACGTGAGGATCCCCACCGGAAGCTGGCTGGGGCAGGAGAGTCCTTGAGATTCTTATCTTCCATTTATCACCAAAAAGCTGGAAGAGAAGTTGTAGCTCAAGTAAGAGGCTGCTAGCTGTGAGAAGAGAAACAAAACACCAACAGAAAACCTCAGGGACAACACTCAGGCCCTGAGTTCAAGCCTCAGGAATGGCAAATAAATAAATCAACATACGTACATACATACATACTACATACATGCATGACATAGGTCATGTACCACACAGAGAAGCAAAGACTTTGTGCTCAGAGTAGGCAACAACAAGAAATCACTGTCAGGCTCTGAACAAGAAGTCCGTAGTTTATGAGCTAGGGCTTTTATTTTCAATAATCTGAATCCATTTCAGGAAAGATAGGCTCCTGTCGCATCTCCCAATTCTCTTTTGTCATTCTTCTTCTTTATAGGACACTAATTAGCCAACATCTCTTGTCTAAAAGGCTGACCATATGGTTCAAATAACATAATATTCCCAGGAAAGAAATATATTAGGCTTGCCAATCTAATTCCTTCCTTTTCAATTTGGCAGAATATCACGGAATCGGGGTGCAGAGAATGCGAGGAACTGGAGGAGAAGAACATCAATGAATTTCTGCAGAGTTTCGAACATATTGTACAAATGTTCATCAACCCTTCCTGACTGCAGCGGACTGGCGTCCACGTCTCTACCATTAGCAAACGTCTTTCTGCTGTGGAGAGGCCGGGAACACTGCATTGGGACATGCTGCCAGAAGCAGTCTTTCAAGCTAGAAAGCGATCAGGATCACGTATCACATGCATGCTAGGGATGAAGACAGATAAAGGTCTGAGAAGCATGCTGTCTAGGAACTGTTCTCAGACTTATTTTGCCCATTTATTTTTAATTTATTATCGACGTTGTATGTGTTTGTAATATATTATAAGATCGTGAATAAAAGTATACCTGCTTTATCCATGGAAATTGCACGGATATTCTACTGCTTCTAATCATCTGGGGTCCTCTGGTGCCAAGGTAAGGAGTGTCCTGGCCCAGGCTGCAGCTCCACAGCTGATTTGCATGTTTCTTCTCCCCTGGGAGATGGGCCCTGCCAGCCCGCTGCTTCTCCAGTCAGCATAGATCCCAGAGAAGGAACGTGCTGTGCTTTCCACGAGAAAAGGGGGCGTGTCCATGGACCAGTGCTTGGCCACAATCAGGAAGTGAATGCTACGGAGTAAAGCACTTGTGATAGAAGTCCACTGCAGTCTCTGGGTTACCATGTATATCAGTAAATCAGTCATAAATCTTCAATGACAGGCAGACAGATGTGTAGAGAAAGTATGGCTGTGATAGGTTTATATATCCTGTTTTCCTCAGCAGTTGCTTTTTTTTTTTTTTTTTTTACCAACAAAAACCCCTGCTTATTAGTTGGAGTTTATTGTATCTAACAGAAATCATTCTCTAGCTGATTACCGATGGCTCACACGTATAGTTCTGGTGACTTGGGAGGCTGAGGTGGAGAGGATTGAGGTTTGAAGCTCACCTCGAGCAAAATAAGTTCGCGAGATCCTTTCTCCACCCATAATCGGCACAGTGGAGCTGCCTGTCAACCCTGCCTACATGGAGGGTGGGGTTGGAGTACCGCTGCCGCAGCACAGCGCAGCACAGCCAGAAAAATCCTCGGGACTCCATCTTCAAGGAGGGGAGCCGGGTGTGATGCCAGCAAAGACAGGAAGCCCCAAAGTGGGTGGATTTCATGCCCGCATGAGAAGCAAGACGGGATCCTAGAAATACCCAGTGAAAACTAGAGATGGGGATATGGTTCAATGGTTCAGGGCCCTGTTGTCCCAGCCTCAGTGTTTCCAAAAGAGGAAGGAATTGTTTATGGTTTGCTTTAGTTGTTTAGGACGTTTTTGCACTAGTCTGACTAAAATGATCATGCGTGGTAGCTGTACTGTTGGTGAGGAGTAGAAAATAAACTCTAAACTGGTCTCCTCCAGTGATGCACGCGAGCCCTCCTTTCGTGTTTGTGGGCATTGGAAGAAGGAAAATCCTAATGCCAGATGTATTTTTTTTTTCACTTTGGTTCTACCAAAACCTACCCAAAGTAGGTTTAAAATTTGCAATATTTTTCTTGTGCTCCAGCTTAGAATTCTAAGTAAATATTACTTACTCTGAGTCAAGTCAGCTGGGTTTAGTAAGCTTTGGACACTGACCTGCAGCTTCTTACACCACAAGGATAACATGAGAGACAAAGCAATCATTTGCAGCAAGCTAAATTGTACCTCCTACTCCCGCGCTCTTAACAACATCTGTCTTTCGTTTGCATTTCAAAATCTACATTGTCCTTTCTGATGGGCCACTCCAATACCATTTTTCTAGAGGGTATTCTATTTACAACTCATCCACTACTCTAAATGCTGAAAACACTTGCCATCTATCCCATATCCTAAAGAAAGCCCAAGATCCTACTTCATCCAGTAAAGGTAAGCCTAGCCCAAATTAGATTTAAAGTCCTTGGTCATATTGGTGAATTATAGTCTAACATTTTTTAAATTCCCAGCAAAGAAAAGATGTATGAGAGAATATTATCTCTGCATTCTCTCTGGCAGTAAACAATAAAGACTAGAAGGCAGAGACACGAAAACACAAGCAGAACCAGGACATAATTTGTGAGCCAAGAGACTCTTAAAGCCCAGCAACAAGTCTAGTTTTATATAATCTCCTTCTTTGTCTGAGAAGAGTGAAGAGATAGACTTAATTTGTCTTCCTCTGTTGTTGTTGTAAAGAGGGACTTATATATTTTAATGAGTTACTCTTTATGACCATCAAACTCAATAGCTCATAAAGTCAAACCAACATATACAAAATGAAAATATGAAGTAATATGTTTATTCCATACTCTGTCCTCATCCAACCTGAAAAGAGCAGAGAACACAATATGGTCCCTTTTCTGTTGTCCCAGGCTGAAACTCTCCGCAGACAGCGTAGGTCATAGGTAACACCCATGCCCTATATAGACATTGCCCCGGGGTGAATCTCATTTCCATATAGATTTGTGTCAATGTTTCCAGATGTGTCTGACGACTGAATTGTGGGATTTACTATGGAAGCAAGTTATGATAGGTAAATGTAGCTATCCTTAAGCAAGTTGCCTAATCATAATTGTGAACTCTAGCAGAGACAACACTGACTCATTAGTGGGGGGTCAAAATTTCACCCTGTGTCTCACTTCTTCCATCCTGCATTGTGAAATACGATAGCTTGGAGGGGGAAAAATTGTTTTTGCAAACTGTGTCATCCCTTTCAAAATGCCATCGTCCCAGGCTCCAGCATTGCCAGCCGAGTCATCTATCTTCACCACCATGGTCACCTTTCCATGAGCCAAGTCACTGTTTGAATTGCACTGGACCCTGATATATTGCAAAGATGCCCCGTGAGCACCATGCGAGGTGCTGCCACTGAGCAGTGTATAGGAGGCTGCAGCCCACCCCCGTGCAGTTCCCAGTCCAGCAGGAAGGTCGCAGGGGCAGAGCAATCTCCCAAGTGCTCCTTGCCTTGCCTTCGGTTCTGTAACAGGTACAGGGACGGGGGGAGGATCGGGCTCGTTCCAAGTGTCAGGGAGAAATTCTTTGAGCAAGGGATCGCTGTGCTTACCTATGCCCAACACATTGTCAAACTCATGGTCTCAATGATTAGTGAATGATCTAGTGGAAGCTGAAAGAATCAAATGAAGAATGAGCCTGTCAACCCCGTCAGTAGAGCAAGGCCGTGGGCCAGGGGAGTGTGAAAGGTAACCAAGGTAGGGGTGGGGGGAGGGAGGAGACTGAATGGGAAATTTAGTGGGAATGTATCCTGTGGCTTTGCTCTCTACTGCAGAAAGATAGAAATCTTATTCTGATGTGCATAAAGAAATATCAGATGCAACGTTCTACCACCAACTGGAGAGCTCAAGTCCAAAGTTCCTTACCTTAGATTCCGGGTTCATAACATTTCCAAGAGCATCGTCTTCCATGATCTATTCCTCCCAACCCTTCACAGGGAGAAGCAAGAGGTCTTCATTTCCCGTATCACACCCACTTGGCCCAGGTGATTTCTGAGAGGCCGAGGCCCCGAGACACGAGGCAGAAGGCCAGCACTGGACTCTGGGCACAGCCAGAATTGGTCTGGGGTCCAAACCTGGGCATAGAGAGGTTTTCTCAGAAGAAGGATTTTCTAGGTCCCTGTCCACTGAGGCTCGTTAAAGGGACGCCCATGACTGTCATGGAGAAAAAGTAGAGAGAGGAAGGCCCCAAACAAGTCACCAGGGCTCTGCCGAGCCACAACGCGGCACAGGTTAACACAGGCTGAGAGGTTGGGACTGCTTGGAGAGAGCCAGTCTGGAAGCACAAGCGTGTGGCGAATGGTCAAGGTGGAGCTGTACAGAAGCCGGGAAGAGAGGAAAACTGCTGGGTTTGAGGCGAGGCTGAAGAGGTGACAGCTATGAGCCTGGAGTGGGAACACGGAGATTGTGCTATGTCCGCCATATCCTTTCCAATTCATGGCCATCTGCCGAGTCCCTGGAAAGTCAACGCTCCTACGTGTCTATGAAGGATGTACCAGGCTGATGTTAAAATAATATTAAGGGGCTGGGAAGGTGGCTCAGTGGTAGAGTGCTTGCTTTGCATGCATGAGGCCCTGGGTTCGATTCCTCAGCACCATATAAACAGAAAAAGCCAGAAGTGGCACTTAGCCTTGAGCTGAAGAGCTGAGGGACAGCGCCCAGGCCCAGAGTTCAGGCCCCACAACCAACAAAATAAAATAATAATAATAATAATAACACTTTAATACATTTAAGATTCTTTGCACTACCCATAACAGTTTATCTATATTATTGTCTTTTTAAGTGTGTTTGTCTGTCTTGGGCACAGACAACATGAAAGAGCTTTGGAAATGTTTTACTCTTTTGTCACCATTGCATTAAATTGAAAAGAGAAGCAAGGAGCCACTGGAAATTTTGTCCAAATTCAGCTGTGTATTTTCCTATGTTCTATTGACTTCTAAATTTATTTTTAAGGAAACATGAGCCTAACATGTGGGTTGGAAAATTATATGTTATTCAAGAAATAAACATAAAATTTAAGCATGTATTTTTATTCTATATTTTAATTATTTTCTTCGTCGTCGTCTTCTTCACGCAATTCTATTCTGGTCTTTTGTTTGCTTTGCCCAGATGGCAAATGCATCATTAAGTTTCTCCAGCCTGAATTAATTATCTTTTTATAGTAAACGAAAATCCTCTCCTTTTGACAAGGAAGATGTGTGTGCTGTATGTATGAATAAATAAAGACAGCTGTTGTATACAGCCTTATTAATAGCATTGCCTCAGATATTTCATCTGAATAGAATTCCAGTCTTTGCAATTTAACAGAAGCTCTTCATGCCCCTCAGGTTGCTGAAGGCTGAAAGTGACAGACCTGCCATCCACACGGTCATGCTCACGGCTCGTAACAGTGAGCATCGGCGGTGTGCGCGTAGACGGATACTGCCTTTGCTGATCATGGCCCCGACTCCTCAGTGCTGGGCATGTGAAGAGTCTGGACCAGCAAAGCATCTCTCCTTAGAGATAGAAAGTTAACATGCTGACAGCCCGGCGTGGCCCAAATGGCCACAAGGAAGGAGCCCATTCCCTGCTTTGCAGTTGGAGGGCCTTTTGATGGGTGATTCAGCCACTATGAAAGAGCCTTTTTGCTTTGGTCAGAGAGAGCCTATTTGTAAAGTGGAGAACCTCTCTCACCTTACAAAGAAGTGTTCTCATCTCTGAGCTGGGGAAGGTCAATGGAGGAACACTGCGTAGTACATTCAAAATTTAAAAAAACACTGTGCTTCATCACAGACTTGATAGTTAATAAAATACTATTCATTTATGACTAAGGGGATATATGTCCACGTTTGCGGAAGTAAATTATATCTAAAAATCCCTATGAACGAGATATTTAAATCTC